CCACTTGCAAGGAGGCACTAACCACCTCCCTGGGCCAGCCACTTGTTCTCTCCCTGCTGGTTTTTATAAACCAAGAGGAGCAAATACTCAGTATGGATGCAGATGCACAAACCTGTTCAAACATCTTATCAACATCCTCAAGCCAATTGAAAATCATCCAATAATGTATATGTTGCATTTTTAAAATGTATTTTATTATGCACTTGAATGGTATCTGTAAGCTGTCCTGAGTGCAATTTTTTGGATGGAAAGGTAGTGTACAAAGCAAATAAGTAGCCTAAATGGGATATAATGAGAGGCTGAATTATTGAAGCCAGCTATTATCTCCAAGTAAGAGAAGGAATTGACCTATCAGCCTAATCTGGTGAAAGGTGCTGTGTGTCACATTGACAGAGAGGGATCCACAAGTGTCCCCATACTACAAATTTAGGGGGAATTTAACCTCATCTAGGACAGGATGAAAGCTACCCTGGGATAGACTAGCCACTCACCAACAAAATTACTGTATTGTCTGGATTTAGTTTATTGGCTCTCCATTACTTGACTAGATACTTTCACTGCCTCTCCTGGATCAGAAGTAAAAGAAAAAGTAGCTTATCAGCAGGTGACAACATAAAAACACTTTTATAGCATGTGGAATTAATCATTTTGAAATCATGATAAGATTTTGATTAATTCTTTTCTGGAATTTTGGTTGAATGTGAGTACAGTGGTACCTCGGCTCACGAATGCCTCAGTTTGCGACCAAATCGGGTCGCGAACAAATATTTTATAAAAATTTTGACACAGGTCGTGAACTCCGCATTGGGTAGTGACCGCGATCTTGGCCATCTCCCCACCCCCTCCAAGTGGGGAGATGGTTGCGATTGTGCTGGGGAGGGGAGATGGCCGAGATCGCGCCCGTCTTTCCTGCATGAGTGTGCCCGTGATTGCACCTGACTTTCCTGCACCAGCGCAACTGTGATCTCGACCATCTCCCCCACCCCCCTGCAGCACGATTGTGCCCGTCTCCCCCCAGCGCGCCTGCGTTTGCACCCATCTCTCCGCCCTAGCACACCCACATTTGCGCCCATCTCTCCTTCCCCCCCCCCCCCAGCGTGCCAGGATGACGGGTGTGTGCAGGGATGATAAGCACATGCAGGGATGACGGGCACGATCGCAGTCGTATGGGGCGGGCCAGGGAGATGGCTGTGCTCGTGCTCAGGGTGGGGGAGGGAGATGGCTGTGATCTTTGTTGTTCTTTGTCACTTTGCTTCTTCACATTTTTCTGATTAAAACTTGTCTCATTACCAATTTGGGTCACAACCAGAATCCTGGAATGGATTAAGTTCATGAGCCAAGGTACCAATGTATTAAGTTAATTAAGAATGTGATCCATTATACATTTACCTAGTGGTCACTATAACTGAAGTCATTATAGTTTATTTCTGAGTAGATATGCATAGCATTGTAATATGCAAGCTGTAAATATGAAGTTTAACATACTGTGATTCTATGAACTCCAGCAGGAGCATATATATATTGGATCTAGGATGCAATGTATAGGATTTTTTTCTTTTTTCTTTTTTGCCACATCAAACTGCTTTAGTGCAGCTTAAAAGCTGTTAGGGGTTCAGTTGAAGGGGAACTATTATATAGGAGAGAGTTCAAAGTAGTCAAGTGTATGCATATCTATAATTGTGGTCTATTGTGGCATGAATACATTAGATAAGTAGTGCTTTGACTGAAGTTTGCCTAGTGAAGTAGTACAAGAAGATGAATGGTTGATGCCGGATTAAAGTTACTACTAAAAAGAGTGAAACTTTGCAAAGATAACTTTTTAAATGATTAGATTTTCAGTGTATTTCTACACACATATGTATGCGGTAAAGATTGAAAGTTAATGTACCCATATGAATTAATGTATGATTGCAAGTATACTTATGATGAACAAAGCAATATCCTTTTAGTTTTGGAATATTTGTGAAGCACATTGTGTGTAGAGTATAATTGTGGGAAATAAATTAACATTTGCTTATATCAAGGGATTTTTCATGCTTGCCTGTTCTCCATGACTTTTAATGGTGAAATTTCTTTGTAGCAGCACTTTTGTAATAGTACTGGAAGATAACCAGAATAAAAACATCTCTAATACCCATGAAAGACAGTATCTCTCTCTTATTTGTGTGTCAATTTTAATGTGAAATGGCAAAGGTGGGGGAGCAAGCAATTTAAAGGTTGAACAGTCAAGGACAAATTCCATTACCTTTCATTAGGAGGAAAAATGTGCAGCTGCCAGAAACTTAGATTACTTCAGTCTTCAAACCATAGCAACAACTGTTTCTCCTGTTCCGGTTTTTCCTGCCCTTCCCAAACTTGGAACCATTCACATATCCCCCCATACTTTAGATTCCCATAGTAATTTGATTAATAGTTCCTTAATAAATCTCTCATCCTGTCCTTAGTAGATGTATTTTCTTAGTGTCCTATACCTCAGTGCTGAGGATTATATATGTATTCTTGAAATCAAATTGTAACATGTAGAATGGGCTTTGTACAGTGGGAAACATAATTGTCATTTTTATACAATTATAAATGAAATGTGAGAATTCAATTTTGTTAAACTGAAATCACTTGGGAATCCAAGCTTAGGTATCTTTTGATTGCAAATGGAAGGATACATGGGCATAAAAAAGTCTAGCATCTCTGGAGGGCACCAGGTTGGGGAAGCCCACTCTAAAAAGAGAAGTAGATGCCCTCAAGGTATTTGTAGCAGTCTAACACAACCTCTGTATATGGTATTCTTCATAGTATATACACACTTCACCTGCTTAGAGAGAATGTAGCCATCACAATTTACTTTTGGGTGCTTGGATGCAAACTATTTCCCTAACTGTTGTATGTTTCTGGGTTTTATTTAAATCAACTGTAGGCTTTTTGTTTATTGAATGTACATTTACATTCTGAACAAGCCACCTCCATCATGTATCTTGCTGAGTTTGGAGGGCATGGCAACCTGTGCACTGCAAGTGTAAATAGACAAATTGTACAACACACAACCAGCTTACATGGGGATGAAGAAAATAAGCCAACATGGTTTCTTTTCCCCAGTGATTGTGCAAACCTGCCTAGTAAGTAGTTTATGACCTGTTTTACTGATTCAACAGGGCCAAGCAAGTAAGGTAGATGTATGTTTAATGTTTATTTCAAAACTGAAGCTAGTATAGTACTGAAATAAGTAACTGGGATACTGGAAAAGGATCTCATTTAGGGTTTATTAGTCAGTTTGTTTACAAAATGATTTCCCCTTAGAGGGGTTTACTTGCTTTCTGTGGAAAACTAATGGTTATTATTTAATAATAACCTTCTGAGGAAAGGTTTTAAAACAAATAGAAATAGCATATTTAAGTTGAGCTTGCTTGTTAGAGGTACACTTTTTGCTGACTAAACTCATCAGATGTGTGTGTGCATCACTTTAAACCATCTCTGTTATCTTGTACTGACACCTCACCTTTTCAGCACTTCCCCAACTCTTCAGCTACTTCAGAAAGGGAGATATTATACACCACCCTTTTTGAGTCTCCTTTTTGGAGTAATTCTTGCTGTGGTTCCTTGACAGTTAAAAAAAATAAACCCTGTGAAGGCAGCTGCATGGGACAGAATGAAAAGGACTCTGTTGGGGTGGGTGGTATACAGACTACGGGTGCTGGCACCCCATTTGCTCCATTCTATTCTGCTGCATCTAAAGGGTTGCATTTTTACTACCCCAAATGCTGCCATTGCTGCCACTGCTTCTTGCCTGAGAAATATTCACAGATTCAAGGGCTAGGAGGTAAATGGAGGGGAAATGCAGACACCTGCAGTAGCTACTCTGTAGAACCTTGAGAAATTATTTTTATCAAAGAGTAGCAAAATGCCTACCATTGTAAGTGTGAGGAGGGTGTGATTTGGGTGGGGAATGAGTGCAGGGGGCATTGTGGGATTGTAATATGTCTCTGCATGCTTTGTTCTGCACAGTTATATAGAGAGAGGGCTGTGTAGGGTTCACTAAAACCATTCTTTAAGAATATGTTGACAGCATATTCTGTTCCTTATAGGAGTTGAAAGTGGCCAATTATTTGTATGAGAAAAATAGTGATACATTTAGGGACACCATTTCAGTGTGTACTTAACTTGCTTCTGGTAGTTCTAACCACTGAGAATCAAAAATACCCTATTACTTCCAAATTTCTTTTAACATCATGTATTTTAGCATTCATTCTTGACCTAGTCATACTTGTTTCAGTAGTAATGGAAATGAACTGGGAAGCTTAAAGCTCTAGAGGGCAGAGTTATGCCTGTGTATGGATTTTGATTTTATTGATTTGTGTAAAAGGATAAAGTAGTTGCCAGTAGACTCCTATAAAAATAAGTTTAAGCCTTCCTTTTAGCCTGTATTCAAAGAGCATGTCCTAAAGACATACATTTTCATCTTCCCTTCAAATATGCCAGGGAATTGTTTGATCCTGGAGCAATGCTGTTTCCTAATGCTGCTCTTCAGGGTTGATTCTTTGAATATGGAATTTTTAATAGCCAAACTAAATGTGACTTTGGCAGACCCATGTGTTTAAGCATGTATCTGCCTTGATCATGTGGAAAGGACTAAGGGAGGGATTGGTCTTTAATATCAAAAAGGTAGGTAAGGAATACAGAATCCTCGTTGCCCATAGTATACCTCCTCATAGTCTCCTCCCTCCATACTTTTCTTTTTGATCAGGTTGCAGACATGTGTTTTGCTTGTAGAAGGGTAGTGGGGTTGGCAGAGAAGAGTCTCCATTCCTTAACTATACAATTGTTTGTGTTTGACTGGTGCATGCTTTCTATTTTTTTCCCCCATCTGGGTATATTTTAGCATTTTCCAGTTGGCTGTCATTATGAAAACATATTAAGTTTTGGTATTTTGTGCTATAAAATATATCTAATTGTACTTTCTATGTTTACATTTAGCATTTCTAGTAAGTTTTCCTTTCTTTTTCATATAGGTACAAATTAAGCTTCATAAAGAACTGAACAATGGAACCAGATATCATTCGGATGTACTCTTCCTCCCCTCCACCACTAGATAATGGAGCTGATGAAGAGGAAGAAGATGAGTTTGGTGATTTTGGTGGATTTTCTGGTGCTGGAAGTACCAGTGTTGGCTTTGACTTTGCATCAGATTACTCCAGTTCAAAGGAAGAACATAAATCTTCTTATAACTCCAATTACTCAGGCAACGTAGACAATATTATAGCCTTAGCTACTGTTAGATTCACTAATGATAAAGAAAGTATTACAGAACTTCCCAATTCTGTTAAAGGACCACCTGATAGTAGTAAAGAAAAATGTGAGTTTGGAAGTTTGGGTACATCATTTGATGGTGTTAACTCAATAGAAATAAAAAGAACTGGGAAACTGGAGTCCTTGTGCTCTGAAATTAGTAGGACTGATGGGAAAGTTCCAAGTCAAGACCAGCATGTAGACAGCTGTAATGGTGAGAAACAGTCATCTCCGGAAGTTCTAACAAATGGATTTACAGCACCAGACATGGCAAATTCTCAGGGAGTAGAAGATATGGACAGTATCAGTGATTCAAAGGGATTAAGAATTATTAGCACTCAGAGTACTGAATTAAGCCTAGATTCTATACCAAGCACAGAAGAGGATTTTGCAGATTTTGCCATGTTCTCAAATAAGCAAACAACCCAGGTAGAAGAAACAGGAAATAAAATATGCAAAAATTTCAATGAAAGAGAAGTATTAAGTGTTCAAGAAAACAATGTTATAAACAGAGTTGGAGGAGAGAAATCTATGAAGGAAGAGATTTTAGATGGAAGTTGTGAAAATGAAGAAGAAACTTGCATAGAAGATGAACATATCTGCATTTCAAAAGTTAATTTACTAGTTAGTGAAGACTTGTATGCTAGAAAGGACTGTGCAGCATTGGAACATGATTACACTGTTTCTTCCATACAAATAAATGTGAATTCAGTAGGCACAACTGAAAGTATTGAAGGAAGAGGAGAGTCTGACACTGAAAATAGCAAAGAGCTTGATTTTTGTTGCACCAGTGACATTGCAAATGCATTCGACCTCAATGTAAGTAGAGTTCAAAGTCATAGCAGTCTTCCTACAGAAGAAAAGGTGTATGCTTCTGAAATAGTTAAGAATGGTGAAAGCAGCACTGGGCATGCACCATGCAGTGGCTTAAGTGAAGATGATTTTGGTGACTTTGGCACAGTCAGTAATGGATCTCTTGCTTTTGTTGATGGAGCTCAAGCTGCTGCAGCCCAAGAGCATGTTCAGATTCCTTCTGAAAACATCAGTGAAACAAGTGATGAATGTGGTGACTTCACAGATGGAAGTGGTGCTCAACAACAGTCGACAAAGATAGCTGCTTCTCAACCAAATGAGATTGTAAACACTGTGCCAGAAGAATGTCAAACACCACTTACTGGTTATAGCATGACATTACAGCCTCCTACAGAACTGGAAAATGGAGATGACAGTGAGTTTGGAGATTTTGGTTCAGTGGCAAAAAGGTTTCCAGACTCTGATGACTTTTCAGACTTCAGTTCTGCTGGTTGTCATCAAGCTGCAGAGTGGAATGCCTTTGAGGTTGATGAAAAAGAGAGCTGTTTGTGGGCTGTTTTTGAAGGGGAACAGGTATTGGATTCTTATTCAAGAAAAGATGTGTGGTCATCACATAGGACAGGCACAACCCCTGGTGCAGAGACTCAAATGACTGACAGTGTAACATCTCTGCATGGGACTGGCAGTGCGCAGTTTCAAGAATTGCCATCTTCAGCTCGGGTAACTACCATAGTTTGTTTCTGATGGTAGAAAGGTTTTTTCCTCTTTTACTATATGCTTTATTAGGAGAAATTCACACACTGCATTGTGTCTCATTTGTTTCTCTTACAATTCAATACTATGCTTGTTTTTCTGGACATTAGTCCTATGGACCAAATTCCACTTGCATGTGGACTCTTGGAAGGTGATTCTGCAGACATATGTGTTAGGGGTTCAGAAATTATGTATGGGCTTCATGACCAAAAATTATTTCTCCTACCCACCCAGAATATCTGTCCCAACAAGTGGCAGCCTGTCTCTCCAACATAACTAAAGAGAATGACTAATTTTATAGATGACCTTGTTCCTCATAAGCACGAATCTGTTTCACTTCTCTACCTGAATATTACCCAGCAAGACCAGCACAGTACAGTGAGCATCTGTTTTCAAAACCACAGTTAAGGAAGCTGGCATATACTTTCTCTCCCTCCTAAAGAAATCTGTTCCATCTTTTTCTTTCACCCCTTCAGTAGCTCCCTTTCATAACCCAATTTTCTATTGTTTTGTTAATCGGCTTTCAGCAGACAAAACAAAGGGAATTGTTTTCCACTCTTAAGTGCTGCCTTACTGGTGTGGAAGGGTGTGTGGAGTGGGGAGAAAAATGACTTGCATCCTTAGGAACTCAGAAACGGTAAAGGAATTAAAAGGGAGGTTTAAAATTCTCATCAGCCTTCTCTATTGAGTCAGTTAGTTTACAAAGCAAATCTTTCTTCTGGCTTAAAAAAAGCCCAAAGAAATCACCTGCTGTTGAAATGAAATAGCACAGGAGCTTTTGGACTGGGAGGTATTTGGAAGAAATATATTCTTAAGATGAAGTTTATAACTGTTGCTGAGTTCTAGGAGGATAGCACGGGGGAAGGGGAACAAAAAAGATTGACTGGCTTTGTATGAGACAACAAACCATTGTGGGCTGGGTTGTCATGCTACAAGCAGTTGTGATAACCCAGGGGTTGTTGGACCCACAATGGTTGTTTTGAAATCTGTCCCCTGGTGATTAACCCCATTTTGGATCTAGAGAAGTGGCAAGTGAGCTGTTTGGCAAGAGTGGCAATATAGAAGTACAATACAATAAATAAGTAGCACTTTGGAGTGACCATCACTGGCTCACACTTCCCCACTGTGATTGTGGGCAAATTTCACTCGCAATAACTAACTTCACATTCCAAAAAGGGCTCTTTTAATATGCAACCATGAATTTGTGCATATTTCCTCCTCAAAAAATGCTGATATTTTCCAGAGAGTTTTGAAAAGAAAAGCCTTTCTTTTGACAGTTGTCAAAAGAAATATTCATGAAGGGAGACAGTATCACAATCTAAGCATCCTTAAGTAGCTGGAGACTCAGAAAAAGTGAAGAAAAGGGGGAGGTAGTGGGAACATCAGAGAAACTCTAAAGAAGCCATAAAGATCACACTGCAAAAGGGGGAAGAAATCACCCTTTTGTAATCAAATGTCCCTTGTGGCTTGCTTTCAGTAAACAACTATCAGTTTGACAGCTGTTAGAATGCGAAATGATAAAATACCCTATTTGCAAACTCACTTTCGTTTGTGCTCATGGTTGGTATGCTGTTGCACTTTGACAGGTGGCATTGGCTACATAAGCCTTCCCAACTGGGCTGTTTGGAGTTGCACAATTTTGGAAAACTGGCAAACACACATACTTATTCACTGCAAAATCAGAAACACAACAAAACAAAAAGTTGCATACTAGTAACAGTGCCTTCAATATGCTGCTTGAGCACCTTGGAGGGGTTGTCAGTGGCTGTACTTTCAGAGATTGCAAAAAGTGTTTTCCCAAAAGAATAGAGATAAAGTCAGAACAAAGCCACAGTGACTGTAAAAGGGCTTGCTATCAGAATGGGAGCAGGATTCAAGCAGTGATTGGAACTGCCAAATCCACTGGGATCTCTCTTGGAGGACCAAGCGATAGTGGGGGACAATCCAGGGTGAGCTTGCTTATCTCTCAGGTATATTATGGGCGTTTCCATGAACGGCTTACACTGTGTAGCTTATTTGCAGGGTGGACTGTCATGTCATGTGACCTTACCCAGTGGATGGGTAAGCCGCTTTCCATAAGGAAAGGGAACAAACCGATCACCATCAGATAAATTTGAAAATGATACGGCAACCCCTATTCCCATAGCCAATCAAACAGATATGTGGGATCTAGTCAAACATCAAAGACTTTCTCTCCTCTTGTTTGTTGGTGGATTTACTGAAGACTGACTTGTGTTTGAGACTAGGTAGGATGTTGCCTGTTTTCTCTTCTGGCTGCAGCCCTTCACATTCTTTGTGCAGTCCTTTGTGTTGTGTCAAATGCTGTAAGGGTCAGTGGGGTGCATGAGGAGCAGTCATGTTAGCAGGGCTGGAAAAGCCCTTAGATGTGCATGGTATGAAGTTCCTTGGATTATGGCTGCTCTGTTGAATGGACTTGCTGCTAGGTAAGTGTCCATGAAATTCCTCCCTTAATGTAATAAACCAATATATGTATTACGCATATGTATTTTTGAATGCTTATTATGAAATAACTGATTGCTTCTTTGAAGCAACTATCATAAATCTTTGTGTCATTATGTTTATTAAGTTGTCCTCAGTAAAGACTTGGAATTTTAGCATGAAAATTTAATTTGAAACTGGATTGGTTTCACTGATACTTGGTGAACAAAAAATGCTGCTTCCCAGTGGTAGCTGTTTTGTAATCTGAGCATCCACCACTTCATTTGACAGAAAATAATTTGATTTAATTTGCAATGAGGTTTTCACCATCTTTAGATAAGAATGCGCCCTTCATTATAAAAACTGGCCAAGGTCTCAAAGCATGGCAGATTAAAGAGCTTAAAGTTTAATCATGCTTATACATGATGGCCATTCAAAGGAGAAGGCTAATGGGCTATAGAATTTAGATTTATTTAATTGAATCTGAAGGAGAAACTAGATTAATATAAGTTTCAGATATTTAAAGGAAGGATGTTTAGTATTCTTCAAAAAACAACAGTTGTTTGGCTCCACATATCAGGCATAGAAGGCAAAAAAACAATAATGCTGTTTTGTGATGTCCTTTACAAGCTTTCTTAGAGTGCATCCTCACAATGCATCAGGGATTTTGTTACAATTTGAGAAATATGTTGAATAAGAAGGGACAGGTTGTAATGCATTGGGCCATTAAAAGGTATTGAAAAAAGATGCCCACCAAACTATTTTTAAAAACAACATTTTCCAATCATTAGAAGGTTGAATGCAGCTGCATATGATCAGGGGAGTGGGCAAGGAGCCAACACACATGCTATAATTTCAGCCAGATTTGTGATTTGGCTCTTGAGACTTTATCCCTGCAGGTGGCTGTTTACAAAATTCCAGTTTTCAAACCCTTCAGGCACTGCAATTTTAATTAAGAATTAATTTGTGTAAGATGCTATCAGAAGATTGGAACTTGTTTAATGTTAAAAGCTCAGTAGGTCTTCCACTTGGACATCCTCAGTCATAATTAAAAGGACAATAGACAGAGGAAATCTAAAATTGTTTTATATTAGATAAAACTCATTTTTATTAAAATAACTACATACCTCTGTTTTCAAAAAAAGTTTAAACCAGTTTACATAAGAAAAAAAATACAAGAACAATCCACTAACACTTCCAAGCTTGAACTAATGCACAATCTTACATAGAACTCATAACAGTAATGAAACCCAGAAGTTAAAGCAGCATGGATCAGGCCTGTCCTGAAGAGGCAAATGCTTCCATAGGAAAGAGGAGCAAGGTCCTTGAAATCTGCTTCTCAAAGCTTTTTATCTGATCTGATAGGGTCACTGAGACCCCATCAATCCCTTCACATGGAGCTTGAGTCAGTCTCCATGGACACAGTACCCAAATGTGGAGGGATTCCTAAAGGACATAACATACCTCAGTTTTCATCTTCCTTACTGTACATGCACAGGCATTCAATGTATCAGACTGTTGTATAGGGTCTAGGGTGCCAGTAGATCCTCCCGTATCTCTCTACCTCTGCAGAATGAGGTTGGTTGGAAATAGGAGACATATGTCCATGCCCCCCCCCCAATCCTTGTAACAGTCTGTTGTAGGTGCTTTGTTGAGGGAGCATTAAGAGCTTTGTTGAACCCTATGACCAAACCTCTGCATTCAGGCTCCATGTCTGTGGTACAGCTGATTAAGGGCTACACATGTATTCATGCTTTAACAGGCAAAGTAATGTTGATCATAAAATCAAGCCAGGTCACTGTATACCTCTGAAGAAATGAAAAATATGGTTGCATTGTTCAAATATAAATATATCAATTTCAGTTGAAGATGGGGTAAAGAGCACTTCTTGAACAGAGCTTTTTTTTCTCTCTCTTTGCAAGGTTTCCTTTGCTCAGAATATTGTGATACAAGCCTTCATACAGAAAGCCTTTGGTAATCCACATTTATCAAATGATAAAATTGGCTTCAGTCTTTATGAGCCAATGGATTTGGATTTTTGAATAAATACTGTAGACTCTGTCACAAAATGATTGCTGGGGAGATATGGCTAGTCACAATATTAGCTAGTTGGGCTATATGTGGTTAATCTCAAAATGTACTACAACCAAACTTCTTTCACAGTAATTAACTGGTTAAGCTAAAAAAACAAGTAACTTGCCCAAGAACCTGTATTTGTGGCAGAGTTGGGATCTGAACTTCAAAGTACAAATGTTTTGCTTCAACAAAACATTTCCCAAAAGATACATTTCTTAATTTCTCAATGTCACCTCTAAATAGCTCTAAAATTAATTTATTCCTGCAAATTAATAGGAAAATCATACTAATTTATTGTCTTCCTAGAATCTGTCCTCAGATACTAGGAAATCAGTTCCTCTTCAATTAGCCCTTGCCCATTCATTTTCCTTTAGCTAGCCCAACTGGTCATGGCTTTTTCTTCCAAACAAGTTGCCCCTGCCTGTTCATTCTCATTCTCTCTTACACACACATGCACTCGCTCACTTGCATCCCCCAAAACAATTTTTCTTCCTCAGGAGTGCTTTGTTTTATTTTTGTGTTGTTTTTGAAGGGGCTCTCAAGCTTAGGGTCAGGGTTAGAGAATGCTGCTGGAATCTTTCTTCTAATCAAAATGCTGTGTGTGGGAAAATGACAGGCATCTAAGTAGACAATGTGAGTAGCTAATGATTTTGGACTTCTACCCCAAATTACTACCTGGAATACACCACGGAAGAGAGTAGAGAGCCCAGTAAGCAACTTGATAAATCTTTACAGAAATTCAACAGTAGAATGTTCTTGGCAAGTAATTACCCTTGCCAAATACTTATTTATAAAGAATGAGACATTCTCATATGATTTTTTTTATTGGATAATGTTCAGCATTTTACAGCACATCCTTAAATAAACTCTCCCTCTGTGCTGTGTTCTAAATTTTTAACAAAGACCCAGACTAAGCCAGTTAATATTTTGTTTCTTTACCAATGTAGACATATATGTCAAATGAAGTGATAATTATGTATATTCCTAAATAGGTGGTTAAGTACAAAAAGTCTTTATTTTCTCACATCCCCCTTTTAATCCACTAAATTAGAAGACAGAATTTTCAGCACATGTGTTAAATTAAAGGTGTAAAGAAAATGTTGAAAGTAGAGGTAGGAGCATTTGTTACCTGAAAAATATCTTTACATTTTTTTTACTCCTTATACTGAGCTTGGTCTGAATTACATGATGATCATTAAAAAAAATTAAATTTGTTTATACTGTGCCACAAATGAATATTGAAGCAACTGAAGACTGAGTATTCTCAGTTGTATATATTGGCTATTAGTTGACAAAGAAATAGGGGGATTTGCTGCGTGAGCTTCTTGTAAGCAACTTCAGAGGACTTTTTGTGGAAAGAACAATTATTATTGGTTAGATTAAAATACAATAAATGAATACATATTGTTGCCCTGAAAGGTAGCATACAAATACTGAAAATGGGCAAGAACCCTGAACAGAGGAGCATGCCTTCAGTTTGGACATTGTATACTGTAATGGAGGTTCCATTAATACTGAACTTAGTTAAGTATCAGTTACTTTAGCAGCCAAATGGCACTACTTCAAATTTAGTGGATTTTACTTTCTTGGGTGAAGCTAAGGATGCAGAAGCACTAAATTAAAATAGGTTGCATAGTGTTTTATTATAAAGTTACTGCTTTGTATATTTCATGTTTTCTCTTCTGTGTTGCCTTCTGACAGTATTATCCTTAAAGATAGTCCAAAAATAAGCATTTAATTAAATGAAAAGGGCAGTTTAAAAGGAACCTTCCTGGCAGTCTGTGAGTTTCTGGAATGCTTAAGGCAGTTGAGGTGGTTGTGACTCAAAAGGGCTGAGCAAGAAGGGGGAGGTTCCAAAAAATTGGACAACTGCATCTTCTGTCCTGCTCTCAGAAGGCAGCATTGTGTGGTTTGCTGTGGACTTCCCCTGAATTCCTCTGCTCAAGCCCAGCCCTTCAGAAGAATCCCCAGACCCTTGAGGAAACCTGTTCAGAGGCTCTGTAAACTAGTAGGATGGAGAATGGGAAAAATCTGCTGCTGCTTCTCTCTGGGTCCAACCAATAATAGATAGACATAACAGTATCTAAGTTTCACTAGTATCGGTGGTTCTAGTTCTGATCCTGACCAAATTAGGATGCTTGGATTTTGTCAGAAGTTTGTATTCTTTTGACCTTCATAGAGACAATTATTCCTAGACCATGGATGGGGAACCTTTTCTGCCACAGTCTGCATTCCTAAGTGGATAAGCTGTTTTGATTGGTGGGGCCATCTCTTCTTCCTTCTCTCTTCCTCTCCACCTAGTGGACAGTTGGACTGCTGGGGAGGGATACACTGCTCCTGTCAGAGGTCAGAACTAATTACTTGTTTGGGGCTTTTGAAATGAGCCCAAGGGCTACAGGAGACCTTTCTCTGTCCTGGAGGGCAATGTGTATAAGTTACAATAATTGTAAAAAATAATGCTAAAGTGACTGATATTAATTACCACTCAAACTTATGGGAAAGAGGTCTTACTAGCTTGCTTTAATTGCAAACTATAATAACAAACTTTATATGTTAAGCTTAGGCATTTATAAGATTGTGCCTCTACAAAACATTTCATGTTAAAGGAGAAATATTCCCAATTAGATTGAATTTTGCCCCTTAAAAAGGCAAAATGCTTTATTTAGAGGTTAATATAGCATTTGTGTTCAGACTGAGTGAGTAATAAATTCAATAAGATTTTCTGATAAAGGGGAATCAAGCACTTGTCTTAGTAAGCACTACAATTGTATAGTGCGACTCAGACCCAAGTCCCACTGTGTTCGGAGGGGCTCGTTTCCAGGAAAACAGAGGATGAAGCAGGGAATGTTCTAGTTCTTAGTGTAATTGCAGAGATGATCCCCAACGCCTCTATACTTGTACACTTGACAAGTGAGTGGTTTTGATGCTGGACTGCCAGACAGGCAGAAGGGCCTTTGTAGCCTAACACCAAAAAGTAGCCGAGCCCCTTTATATCCTGTCCAGCTTAGACTAGAGACAGGGATGTAGTGAGGCTGTACCGCACGGCTGTAGGGACAGTTCTTGCTTCAGGCTAGAGAAGAAGACTGGGGCTCCTGCTGTCACCTTCACCTGAGAGTAACAGAACTCTTGTCATGGTAAGTGGAATAGGGGTCTGTGGTTATTGGTATGCCACAGCTGCATTCCTTTGCTATCTTTTCAATTGAAATAGTGGTGTTTTTTAATCATTGTTGACTGTGCTTAGAATTAATAAGTAAGGCTTGTAATTTTATATTCCTCTCTTCTCTAATTGAAAATACTAATTAGCATAATTTTCAACCATTTGATTTTGTCTGTTCTGCTGCAGACAGGGCTCCTAAGTCGCCTAGAACTAATATTTGAGACCTGTTTTCCTTCTGTACCTGTTTCTGAAATCGAAGAGGAGATTACTCCTTTAAACCTCTTGCTGGAAGCAGGTCATAAGCCTTGGGGGACAGAGGAAACCCTGTCAGAAAGGTATGGACCATTTAATGTGACAAATTAAATGTGACAAATAGAAGTGTTCATTTACATTTTCAGGAGTTTTAAAAAATATATACTTCAGCAGGACCAAATATCAGCAAATATTTGGTGGTTCACACTTTTAAAAAAGTGTATCTTAGTGTAACTTGTTTTTTTAGTGACAGCTATTACCACCACATATTAATCTACTTGTTGGTTTCTTGTGCTTAAAGTGATGTACAAATGAAGGAGTTAATTAGGATGTGGCTTATTACTTACACTTACTACAAATGTATTAGGTTGAATCCCATGTTTGCTACAGCCATGTTCTAATTATAAGTTGGAAGAATAATTGTTCTGAGAACTTTATATGACTGTTACCTCTCTAGAGATTTGGAGTTAGGGCATGAGTTTAATTGGAGGTTTTTAATCTGCCATTCATTTAAAGATGCAACATAAAGTGGTTAAAGCTGCTGAGTCTTAGAAGAACCTCTTTCACTTGTTCTTTACCTGGGTTTCTAGGGAACTGCTTGATGTGTGGACAGAGCTTCAGGATATCCATGATGCATATGGACTGAGATACCAGTGGGGTGGCTCCCACAGCAACAAAAAGCTCCTCTGCTCCCTGGGAATTGACACAAGGAACATTGTGAGTAATCAGTAAAACCACCAATTCTTTCATTGTCATTAAGAATAGCATGTCCTTTTATTCTCAAGTGCCATGTGTATGGTACATTTTGTTAGTCGACATATGTAGTAGCTATTCTTCTACCCAAAACTGATGCTTAGGACTTACTGGAAAACTTGGTAATTAAAATATTTCTGTCTAATTTTTGTTCTAGCTCTTCACAGGTAACAAGAAGCAACCTGTTATAGTGCCCATGTATGCAGCAGGACTGGTAAGTTGAAGTAGTTCTATGCAGTGGCCTAACAGATCTAACATACTTTCAAATTTAATGTCAATTCAGAAATAATTGTAACTTTGGTGTAACCACTAATCTTTATACTATGTGTTGCACTTCATCAAGATTCAGAGAAAATATATAAATAGTTAGAAGATAGATTAATATTTTGTTTAAGTAAGCTAATATTACACAATTTGATAATTCTATAGCATTCTTGGACTTGTCAAACTGTGAAATTATGCTTTTGAATATCAGCTGTTAAGAAACACTCAGCATACATATCCTACTTACAGGGCTATCCTACATTCGGGTGTGTGAGCAGAATGCTGACTAGATGTGCCTTTGGTCTAGCCCATTTGGGCGGTTATGTTCTTACGTTATGTCTTGTTTAGCTATTTATGCCTGCCTGTTGTCTTGTGTCTTAGACGGACGTGTGCATCCCCATACCTCTTACATGTACCGATTTTTCTCCCTTGTTTCTTGATGCATAAATAAATGCAGCTTGCCATGACATCTGAATTTGATGAATGGCAGATATGGCAAGCTCTAGTTTGCTTCCAGTCATGACACATTTTGAATTGGACTTCTGATTTGAGATTAACTATGATCTTAAGTATTTACAATTGTCCCAGTTTAGATATCATGACAAACTATGGGTTGATTCCATTAAATTAAAGTTTAATTTCTTTAATTGTAAAAATAAGCTTCCCAGAATAATACTAACCTTTTTTTCCTGGTGAGGAACTGGAATAAAATGTTCTTTTATGCTAAATACTTTGAGGAGCATCCAATGTGGATCAGATAGTATAGACAGAAAATTAAATGTTTGTTTTGGGTTTAATTAATAGTTGTTGCAGTTGTTCCTGTATGTGATATCTCAATTTTTAGGGCATGTTAGAGCCTACTAAGGAACCCCTGAAACCAATATCTGCTGCAGAGAAAATAGCTTCAATAGGACAGACTCCTCCTGTATCACCAGAGATGAATATATGTACTTCGGATCAGTTCCAGGTAAAAAAAAAAGTCATCTGGTGATTGCCATCTCTCTCTCCTGCCCTCTCCTGCTTTACTTGACATCACACCTGTGTGCCATCCCGCCAACCCAACCGCCCCTTGAGATTTCCCTTTGAATGCCTGAAAAGAGTTCTATAGCTAAGCCTTGCTTGACAACAGAGGAAATACTTATCTGCAGAAGGCTGTGATTATATCTTCTTCCCCAGCAGTTGTCTGCTTTGTAAGGATAGCAGTGAATGAACTGCTCTGTGGACTATAGCTTAACCGGTTGAGCTTCTATCAAATAGAGTACAATTGTTCATTTAACAACTCAGATGATTTCCTATTCCTCTTTTATTGCTCTTTTCCTGTTTTAAAAGTGTTGGTACACTTTTAGAAACTATGTACAGAAACTTTAATCCTTCCTGTATTAGATTGTGATGCTTCTGGCATTTGAAAGAAGTTGTATAATTAAGCTCATTTTTATACTTAAATGTTTTTGTCTAATACCTTCATTTAGATTATATTTGGGTTGAAATATTTGGGTTGTGAGAAAACAGAGGAACAAAAGGGCAGAGGTTATATGTAGTTTACTTCTACTGAGGTGATTAACATAACTGAAAAGTGTAATTGTTTTCATACAAGTTGTAGGATATTGATATTGCTTTTTGTGGTATTACAACAAAATGTATAACTACACAATAGAATATTCAAAATAAGTGATGTGATCCAACCAGCTTTTCTACAAAGGTTCATACAAGTTTTAAAATTACACAGTAAAAGACCCTCAGGAAGCAGTTTTAACAAGAGATAGCTATTTTGTATTTCCTTTCTGTCTGTAACTTAATAGACATCTGTGTCATTAAAGCATTTGTATTTTTAGTTTATCATTAAATAATGCCACTCTGGTTCCTCCAAGGAACCTCAGACAGATAGTAAGCCCAAAATCACTCAGTGAGTTTCATGGCTGAGTGGGGACTGCAGCTCAGCTGCCTTTGCATTCCAGTCTAATCCTTTAACCACCACACCGCATTGGCTGTCCGTTGGAGGAATTTATGATCTAAATAAGATGCTAGATTTGTGTGTCAGGTCACCTGCTAATGCAAAACAGAGTCTGTTTAAAAAATCCTTATGATAAGTGATAGTAGACTGTCTTGAATCTGGCATGAAATTTTTCCTAATCATCACCAGATGTTCTTGTAGACAGGAACAGATAGGTCAAAAGGATGAATGGGTGTGCCTAGATGGTGCTTCTCCCCAGAAAGGGAAGACCAGAAGACCCTCACCCTTATGTGCAATCACAAGTTCAGTCTCTCTTCAAGGTTTATTGGATGGAAGGGATTTTGTTCCCAGTGGATAGCCCCTTGGCACTTTGGCACTCTACCTTTTTTTTTTTTTTTTACGGTAGACTTTATAAAATATACCATATATGTAAATATTTAAAATAAGCAGATCCTACACCTTTCTCAGTTTCTCTCTGCAGTTGCACTATTTAGATTGTTCTGCAGGCTCTAATCATGATGATGATTAAAACAAAGATTTAATGGGACAGTCTGCTGGCATGCCTTGATTATGGCCTGTGTGATGCCTCTTTCAAGGGGGAGATGTTCCAGTTCAAAGTAAATATACTTAAATAGACATAGCTGTGGGGGTGGAGGGGGGAATCCCAGAAAATGAAAAGCACAAGATATGTGAGGCTCAAGATGACCATAAAGAGAAGCCTTGTTTTTTTGTAGAAGAAAATAATGAAAAGCACTAGGGACAATAGAGCATTGTGTTTTCTTTTGTCAGGGAGAGCTTCCTTACAATCCAAACAGAAAATTTCTGAATGAAATTCCAGTAGGGTTTTGATTATTTTGTTGGATCCAGACGTGCATGCAGTGGAGTCCTACTTGTTCTAGAGAAAGAGTTTGGGGCAGCAAAGTTTATCCATTTCTTCCCACTGCAACCTCCAGGGCTGGAAGGACTTTCCAGAATAGCATGGCATTGGAAGGTATAGGGGGATGATGGATAGTTGTCCAAAAACACTATCCAATCCCTTTCCTGTAGCAGGAAGCCTCCAATGGATTCTGGTTCCTTCCATGAGTAGAAAAAGTCCTTCTGTTTGTGGATCCACTGCAGGTATAAAGTAGCTAATTTATGATCAGCTGAATGCTGACTTTTCGCCTTCTGTATTAAAACCAGACATTGATGGCCTGTCAGAAATAATTAATTGGCCACCTTCATCCCTTTGCAGTATCCATACTTAAAGTGGATAAGTTTTATACTCTAGTTTTGCATACTAACAGCCCAATCCTTTGAAGTATTAGGTGCACATATGCTGTTGATTTTGGTTTTGTCCTCTCAATGCAAGCAAATACACTGTTAATTATTAAATAATTAGTTGAGTTCAAATTTAAAACACACTCCACCACTCCTTTTTATGTGACTATTGCAAGTTTCTGTTCAATTATTGGGATTCTTCTTTAAATATTTTCAGAGCTGAAAAACAAAAAAATTTGTTTCATTGAGGCTGATGCTTTCTATGTCACCCTACTGTTAAACATCTCTGCCAGTTTTATCCGCCTGGTTTGCCCAGAGCAAGATCCCTGCAATGTTGGGATGCCATCGTGGCCTGTGTCCTTACACTTTGGCAGTGTTGCCAAGTCCGCCCCCCCTCCACACACACACACATTTCCTAGTGGCAGCACTAGGAACAGACTATGATTCATAGATATTCATAGTTTACATGAGGTGCTGTTTTTTGTGACTTTATTTTGAATATTTTGGTTCATTGTACTTAGCTCATCCTTCTGGCTTTTCAGTTGTTGCCTTTTTACTTGCATGCAAAAAAGAGCTTCACAGGAGGCATTTTATTGTGCTGTGACCTAACTGTAAAATCTGATTTCTGACTTTTCAACTCTAGGAATCTCTACCACCTGTCCAGTTTGACTGGAGTAGCAGTGGCCTTACTAACCCTTTAGATGGTACGTCTCTCCGTAGAGCCTCTAGCACCAGAGCTAGAGTTAAGAAAGCTACAAAGTTCAGACAGACATCTCTCTGCTGATAATTTAAATATATATGAAATAATATATATATTTCTTAACTTTGGAAATTCAGGCTTTCTTTCTGTTTAGTTTGTCCAGTTTAAAGTAATCTCTAGTGCTTAGGAGCAAGGTGAGATACAATTTTGCTGAATTTGGTTGCACATACACACACCAATGATATAAAATGCTGCGTTACCTCTGCTAATATTGGAATAGTTAAGTGATTTTTACTTGACAGAGTTTGCAGTTCTCACCCCAACCAAAAAAACAAAAAACAAAAATGTCTATTTAGACTTTTTTCGTAAAGTTCTGAATGGCAACATCAAGTGTCTAGTGGTGGTTGCTTCCAGGCACCATTTTAGCCATACCCATATGTGAAAGGTACCTTTTCTAAAACTGAGTTTTACAATGTACAGCTATTTTAGGTGCCATATTTTTCGTTCACTTTCATGTACTAAATGTACTAAAGTAAATCTTGTAAATGAAATGGCATTGTCATTAACTTTCTCTTTTTAAGTAGCATGAAAAATGCTCCAAAATATAAAAGCCTTTAAACTAAATAAGAGTTAGCAGATAATATCAGGGCTTCCTCATCTAGTCTGTTAAAATGCAGTCAGACTTGTCCTAATGATCGGCCATATCGGTGACCTGAAAACACTGCTTTAGAGTGTTTTGAGGATCTATCAGCTTTGTGATTCATATCAAGGTGCTGAAGGAAAGCCTGGATGGACTCTCTTGCTGTTGTCTGGTGTCTGATTACTTCAGTCGATTCATCATGTTTTCTTTTAATAATTTCTTTAAATTGTATCGCTTTCAGTATTAAAGGGGAACAATATAATTTGCCTCCAAGGAGTCAGATGTAATTAAAACCCTATTGTTACCAATACTCGTATTAATTGTTGTGCTGATCTACTGACAATCTAGCACTTTAAACTAGCAAATACATTTTGTCAGTTTCTTAAATTATGTAATCATTTGAGATAACAGTATGGCTTTAAATCAGAAGGATGGTTCTGAATTTTTAAAAAATATATATGTTTCCCTTTAATTGGGTGCATCTCTTCTGGATCTTTCTGGTTCTGTCCATTTTTCTAAAAAAATGTGGACTAGCTTTTCAGTTAAGTGTTGAAATCCTTGCTACATTTGTACATGAGAATGTACACTGACTTGTTAACATCTTTAGAAACTACAAACTAATCTTGTAAGCACTATTATGTTGTTTTTTAAAAGAACTATGTAATGAGTACTAATTATAACTGGCATGTTCAAGTGTGTGTCTTACCCCTTTTTACACATAAATCCCTCCCTTGGCTTACCTTCTATATGGCTGCCTACCAACACGGTCACTGAATTTCAAGCTAGTGGAGGTTCCACTCTTCTGAACCTTGATTTCTTTGGGCCCGTGGATGACAGTAGCTCTAGCACCACCACCACCATCCCAGGTCAGCAGAGCGCTAAACACTGCAAATTTAATCTCTTAACATTTTTACTAAAAGCATGAGCCGCATTATGTGACTTTCCTACAAACAAGAATATCGCTGCTTTGATTTTCTCTAAGAGGCCCAGCTTTGATACACTTTCCTCTTTCACCAGTTCCCTCTAGTGGATAGTTAACATTACTTGGTCTGTGCTATAGGACTGTAAGCAGAAAATTCATTTTGTGAATTTTCAAACTTCAAATCTGCATACTTGAAGTATCCCACTTTGAAATGCAGTTGGAACAAAAGACAGTGGCTGAGTATCGGATGCTCAGCTAAATATATGTGAAGGCCATGGTATGTGCATTTGTTTGGAAGTAAGTCTTGTTGGTCTCAGTCATTCTGGACGGTAGGACCTAGAACAATAATGCAATTCCTAACAAAAGCTGGCATATAGCTATTTTGTAGAAAAGCCGTGCAATTGGCATTTAAGGCAAGATTAGTATTATAGTTATCACCTTTTCATTGATTTAATGTTGAATATAAAAATAACTGCAGATTTAGGCAAATGATAACAAAGTGCACACTTCCACAGTGCAGTCTGCTTTGGTTTAATTTTCTTGAAAGTTGAAGGTGCTTTTCAGTTTACCTTAAGTGCTTGATTAAATGCTGTGTCTATAGCACCGTTACATGATTAGGAAGATTCTTGTACCCTGTGAATCCTTCAGAGGGAGGAAGTTATTCTGAATACTTGGTGCAGGATTCTTTTCTGCATGGGTTTATGAGTAGCAGTGACCACATGGCATAACAGAGCTCTCCCTCTCCATGATCATCTCGGTGTAAGAGAACTAAGTGACAGGTTACTACAGAGTATAAAGGATCTGTGCGCAGCTCCCATATTCCAGTCCAGGTATCATGTTCCTTGCCTGTGAGGAACATGCCTGTGCGGTTACCTGTGCTCACATGACCAGAGGGATGGGGAGAATAGGGCTCTGTTATGCTCATTGGAGTTCTGTTTAAGTGTGGAAAGATCATGCCCTTAATTTTGTATGTGTGAGGTCTTGCCACTTCACTACATTATGATTAGTGCAGATTTTTACTTGAGTCTCGAGTGCTGGAACCAATTGGTATATAGAGCATATACAAGCATTCAAGAAGTCAACAGTTTAAAAGCCTTTTGAGTTTTGTATGATTTTAATATACAGCTTCAGAAACTAGTTTTAAATTCGTAAGTGCATTTTAATTTCCAGTGTGTTAATGTTAATGAACATATTTTGGCATCTAGTAAAATACAGTTTAACTTTCGATATATTAATCTGAAGTGATACCAATGAAGACATGATACCATTTCTTCTGGGTTTTCATTAGAATTTTGTCAAATTCAGATGTCGCCATTGCCTATTGGTTTTCTCCCTTGTTTCTTGGAAAGTCATTTGCTTATAGCCTGCAGCTCTGTATGTAGGTTGGTTCTGTGTGTGTGTGTGAGAGAGAGAGAGAGAGAGAGAGAGAGAGAGAGCGTGCAAGCGCTTGTGCACCTAAATAAGGAGCTTGGTCTAAACTTCATTCCTAAATTCCCTCAATCTCATTAAGGTTTTAAAATGCACCCTTTTTTCTATTCAATGCTGTAAAGATTCCTTATCAGAACTACCGGACCCCCAGAGGCAGCAGATCTTTTCATACTGATTTTTTCCTAAATACATACTTTGGTGTAAAATTTAATGAAATGGTGGTGTTAAAATATGCCCAGCAGTAATTTCAAAATCATATGCTATCAGTTTCAACTAATGTTTCAACAGTTTCAACCGTCCTGAGACGCAATAGTGAAGGACGGCATACAAATGTTTTAAAGAAAGAAAGAATGAATGAGACTTTCATTGGCAATGACTGGAAAATACTAATTTTTACAGCTCAGAGAACCTAAATATGATTTTATAAAATCTAAACTAAGCTTTACAAGCTGCCGTACCTTAATGGGATTTCAGAAACTTTATTTCTTATAGTGTATCAGTTCTGGATGTGATACTGCAAAAAACCTGCCCCTTTTGCATGTTTAGGGTTTCTGTAAACATCTGACAGTATTTAAAAGGCATGGTGTGTTCATTTCAGTAAGTTAAGTCCAACATTAGTCTTATTTAGAGTAGACCCACTGAAATGAGTGGGATTCTAGTCCTATTCATTTAGTGAGTTTACTCATTAGTGGGACTGATAGTGGATTTAACATTTATTAATATTTGAACTCAAAACTGTTCTGGTTGAGCAAGAGGCAAGCTTACAATTGGTTTGGGTAGCAAGTATTAACTGAAGGATTCAGATAACGGATGACATTTTTTATCCTTAAGTCAACTAATTTCTGAAAACATTTGAGCTGTTTATCTTGGAGTCCTCATACAAATGATTAAAAAATCTTCCCCCTTTTGTGTCATCATTTTGTACTTCTAGGTGTACCCACCTAAAAATAAATCTGTAGTTTGTCCAGATAATGCTATAATATTCTAGAAAGCTTTTTAAAATTGTGTGTGGTTTTTTTGTTTTGAAATTCTGGTTTATGATGTCAGAAGAAAGCAATTGTTTAAATGCAGTGTTTGCTTGTGGCTGACATCTTATATGCCAATTTTATCTGCAGCTCTAACTCTTAACAGCAGTGCATGATGGAAATTAACCAGTGTGTCTCATTTACTTATTAGATATTTTGGTTGCTCAGATGTTTACAGAAGATGGAAATGTAGTATCCTAAACTGAGATTGAATGTGTAACATTTGTTTCTATCTATCACTGATTATAATTTTATACTATAAGGTGTGGATCCAGAATTATATGAGTTGACAACCTCCAAGCTGGAAACCTCCAACACCACCAGTAAAGTGACTGATGCATTTGCAAAACTAATGTCTACAGTAGAGAAAGCAAGCACGTCAACAAGGTAAATCACTGTGAACAACGACTCTTAAAATTCTTGGAAGCCAAAGCTGAGGTGACCACAGCTGGATCCCACAAGTTGTTGATGCAACTTGATACAATTGCATCAAAAAAGCTTCATTTCTAGAAAAGTTCTCTTTGACATCTATAGCATGACGCTACTCCATTGTCACAATTCTGCTTGATTACTGTGTCAGGTTTTCTGTTGGTTTGAAATGAGTTGTTAGAAGCTTTTCTTTTCTTTCAGTCTGTCTGCAGCAGTATCCTGCCTTCTAGTGGCTCACCTGTACTGCTCATAGCCTATCAGCATGCCACAAGACTGACATTCCCCATCCCATAAACTTCCCTAAAAACAGAGTGGGCTGCAAATGACACAAGGGACACAATTTTCTATGCTGTTCTACCTGGGAGCCCAGATGTTACCTTCACTTTGAAATGCCTTCATATTTCTTACATGTGGACATGTTTACACTTTTTAACATATTCTCCTATCCCCCTTCCCAGCTACTTTCTATTTTATAGCCTGTCCATTCTCCATTTTATTATTCTCCCCCCTTGTATACAAATAGCCATCTATCTTTGGCTAGTACTTGCTTTGCTGAGAGTCTGGAGCCTGCTAGAAATATCTGGTCTACTTGTGAATAAGTGTGGGAAAAGTACAAGGTGGCAAGGTGAAGTCCACTGGTCTGTAATCTGCAAGTCGGATGTTGGACTCTGTACAGGCTATATTTGTGTGCATCACATGAAACACATCAATTTGTATGCCAGGATAATTTTTATTTTATTTTTTATTATTTCTAAAACACACTTATTCTGCCTTTCTTCTAAAAAATTAATCTCCTGGAATAAAAACACAGTGCTGTGGTTTCAGGATGTGTATACGCTAGTGCTGCTGGGGTGATTCGGGGCCAGCTCACAAGTGCATTGAATTACTCAAGTCATGACCTGCATGTGTAACTTTTTTTCAGACATCTTTCTGTGTCAGCTCAAGGGTGCAAAATGTTGATGGTACATAAAAGCTAGTTCTATTTATGTTACTTCTTCAGTTTACCACTCGGGGGAGTGCTAATCCTCAGTTTCCTTTGCTTAGGTTAATTTCAACTTGACTTGTAGTAGAACTGCTGAAAATCCAGTGTGTCCTCTCACCACCAATCCCCCCACCCTTGCAGTTTAGTTTTTCAGTCGTTTGTAGCTTTCAAGATAATGGACTAAAGACTTCAATATTCATGCCAGAACATTCTTTGATTTTGCTGCTGCTGTACAATGTAGCTATTAATCCTATTCCAACAGTTGACACTCACATTTTTGCCAAGTGCATATGGAACTGAAATCTTTATTTGTGCTGATTCTTCACTGGTTTGCAGAATTGCCTAAATATTTGTATGACCAATCTGGTCAACAATTCCCCCCCTTCCCCAAGTATTATACTTGCTGTATTAAACTCAGTCATGTTAAATGTCACAGAGCAAATTACAACAGTTCTAAACAAGGATCTATCCAGGCATAGCAAGCCTGGAGAAGCAGGAAAGAAAAAGAGGACACACTACTTGTATATAGCTTTAGAGTTGGGAATGATCAGCATTTGTACTTTCCAAACAAGTAAAGACAAGGGAAGGAGTGTGTGAAGATGAAGACAGGCAGAAAGAGGAGAACTATGAATAAAATGCCAAAGGCAGTAGGTGGCACTAAGAGGGTATTTTGGGGGAAAAGACAAACAATTAAAATTAATGCTAGATTCCAAATTTCAAGAATTTATAGCAATGTAAGTATGAAATGGTACCTGTTTATGTCTCCTTCATGGAATAGTGTATAACCTTTCCTGATTTGCATGCAGTATGGGATGCCAAATAGGCTTGGGGAAGGACATTAGCAGACCTTGCCATTTTGCTTGTGGCAGCTGCTGGAGGAAGGGTGAGGCTGTACAGAAACCTTTTATGGATTGTCATACAGAGCTTGGCCATGGGTGGAGTTACTTTGGAACAGCTGGGACCACGTACAAGTTTCCAGCATTGGGCACATCTCAGTTGCTAAATAAATATTCACTTTGTATGAATGTTTCTCATCTGTACCACAAATGTGGTAGGATGAGAAAGAAAACTATTCAGAGGGCAGTCTGTTCAAGTATCAGGAGAAAAAAGTGTATAAAGCAGAAAGAAAAGGTCTTGATGCTCCCATTTCTACTTGGATTGGAATTGTGATGAAATGAGGCCTTATGCTGCTACTTGTGAGGAAGGGATTCATTAGGGAAGGCTAATGTATTATATTTTTTCCATTTAGAGGAAAAAATAATGGTGGATTTTTGCTTTCATTTTTTCCCTTTTCGGGGGGAGGGTTCGCTAGAAATGCTGGAGAACAGTAGCAATAGTTTTATAGTGAACACCTAAATATACATTAAAATGACTTTTTCCAGAAGCCATTTCTTTGTTGATTGAAGTAGCAGTTTTCTATTGCCCCTCCCCCTGTTAAATTGCAAGCCATTTCAGAAGATTGCTTAACCTTCAGTGAGCAACTTCCTGGAAAGCTGTGACCAGAAGTAGGGCAGAAATGTCCCACTGCACATATGTCTTTTTGGATCTGAACTAATATGTCCTGATTACTATGCTTTAAAAGGTAGAAATTAAGGTCTCTGGACCAAGTAGGTATTCCCATTAAAGGCACTAGATCTGTTGAGTCAGGTTTGTGCAAATCGAGCCATTGGTAAATATTGTAGAAACTGCCAACGTATTATCTTCTCCTATTTACTTCCAGCATCTTGCACAGACACCTTGACTAAGATGGATAGTAGGAAGTGGGTTCACTTCTTGTGCCATGCCTTATAAACCCATGCTGCTACTTAGGTTTCTGTCTTAGTATATGATACATTATGCAATATTCTGTGTGAAATTCAGGCATTTAGGTCCATTTCCAGTTAATAGTATTCATGGCTGTTTGAGCCTCTCTAGGTAAGTCTGGTCTCCTTTTATGAATAGCTAACAGGAATCCCAGGGGCTCACTGCAGCCCCTCTGCATTATTATGAACAAAAATACTGACCAAAATTAACGGTACCAATTCCTAGCATTGCACTTCTTTGCTTTTGCTTTTCAGAATAGAAAACAACATGTCCTGTATACATTTGTACTTTCCAAAGTCTTAGGACACAATCGTATACATGCTTAGAGAGACATCATGCACCTCCCAACATCCCCCAGCCAGCCATGTAATTTAAATCTGCTAATTTACCTAGGTAGCAGTAATGTAGAAACAAAAATTCAGACAGTGATCCTCTGATCCCCATGCAGCGACCCAGGGACCATAAAATGGCTTGAATTTTCCTCTCTGAGGTCAAAAACAGTGCTCCAACCTCAGAACGGGAAGCTGAAGATCTTTCCCCTCTTTCCTGCCTGATGCAGCCAGTGAAAAGAACCATGCTGGCTAATCTGCAAAGCTAGGAAAGCGGGCATGGGGAAGGAAAGGAGGTGTTCCAATGGGCAGGGAGAGGGACTGGGAAGACCAAAATATGCTTTATCCTGAGCTTCCTCCAGCCTCTTTGCCTCCCCCTCTAAAAGCACCTTGCCAAAGCAAAACTTGGGATACAGGGAGGCTGCTCTTGTGAGCTTGTCAGTGGAAGCCTGACTTCTCTGCTGCTCACAGTGATCTCTTCTCACTGCCCAGTATTTTCGTACGTTACAGAATGAAGATGTGTTCTCAGTAATAGAACTGAGAAGACAGAAATCCGCAGCACTTGATTTGTAGTAGACAAAAATGCACAGTAGTTCTCTAATAGGTGCTTTGGTTTATTGCAGAAATTATAAGAAAGTGTCTGAGAGAAGAAGTCCCTGCATAAAACAGGAAGTGCATTTCTGATTGGTAGCAAACAAGATTCATTTTTTTCTTGCCACCTTATGAAAACTTGGGGACAAAATCGTGAAATGAGTTCCTGGCTCAGTAGAGAAGCTTGTGCCTCTGCTGATACATGAAAGTGTCCCATTGTTATGTATGCTGAAACAATGAAAGGATGTTTTTCCAAGTATCATAACAATATGTGATGAGACTATCTTTTAGGTAGGAAGTTCTTACTTGAAGAAAATGCCAGCTGAATTAATTCTTAATATGTGCCTGTCGAGTTTTTTCTTTTGCAAATAGCTAATTTTGAGCTGATAGGTGAGCAGAGGAACATTAACAATTAGTGTAAATTTGAAATTAATTCCTCTTGGAGTGGTTCCAGAAGAGTTCTCTTTTAGTCACCACAAACATACTCTATTTGCTCAGTCATCATGAAATTCAGGTTCAAGGGTGGAGGACAAAAAGAAAAAGAATAGTTAGCACATTAGGGTTTCCATAGGAAGGAAAAGCTCTTCCACTTCCAACTTGGCAGCATTTCAAGTATATGTGTAGTGCAGCAGCCCCTGCACTGAAATAAATGTATGGTGTATGTCCCATTGTGATGACCTGGATCAGCTCTAGAGCACATTCTGTATCCTCTGAAGGAAACAAGTTTGTGCCTCCCTGATCTGTCTACTCAGTTGACTGAATTTAATGCGATAGTTGTTAAACTCTTGAATCTTAAATCAGAATTTGATGTGAGTTAGAAAATTCTGTTGCTGAAATTTATGTATTGTCATTAAGACTAACAAATGTAGGGAAATGGAAATAGTGATCTATCAGAAGAATTCTATGGATTTTCAAATGCAGATGAAAAATCTTAAGAGTTTTCTTTTGATACTTATTAATAGGTTGTGGGATTTCATCCTCTTGCAAATGTTTAACTTGTGTGCAGGATTTCTTTCTCTGAAAGCTAGCAGTTCCAGAATGATGTGTTGCTTTTATGTGTAACTCGGCACATAAGAAGATGACCAGTTTTCTAATTGCAGCAGGAGTAATAAGCTCCATCCTAAGTAGCCACATGAGGCAGTGCTGAAAGTAGAAGGGATAAAGGACCATTGCTTTAGAGAAGTTGACTTAATTGTGCAAGGCATTTCAGTAACAGTACTGAGTAACTTTTCTTTAACTTTTTTTAATAGAAAGCCCAAAAAGGATGAACAACTCAGCGAAGAAGCTACCAAGGTGATTTCTAGCCTTCCTGACTTATCTTTCATGCATGCCAAGGTGTTAATGTTCCCCGCCACATTAACACCTTCAACGAGTTGCCAAGGAAAGGTAGACTAAAGTGAAATGAATTGGACAATTTCTATTGATTCTTCCCCTAGCCCGTTTTTCTGGGTCCAATAAAGTAATACTGCTTTAATTAAAAAATCAAGTTCAGATGATTTGTTGGTAAGCAGCACTAGAAAGGTATACATAGTTATGTATATTTATTTACATACTGGAGTCCTAAATTTATATTAGAAAATGTAAATAACTGGGGAGGATTGAACTTTTTTGAAGATTTATCTTTTTTCTTCTTCTTTTTCTTTCTTTTTGTGCTGGGATGTAAACATTTGTCCTTGTGGAATACACTGGTAGTGTCCTTCTTTAAAAAAAACAACAAACAACTTTCTAAACATTTTTTTAAAAATTGAAATTTCCAATGTTTGCTCTTCATAAAGAGTCTTTCATTATTTTTTTTCAGAACTAATCACCCTTGATTACCATTTACTGAAAAGCCAAAACATTTAGGGTCTTTCAGTGGCTCTCTGTTAAACAGATTAAACCATCCTCTCTTTTTCATCTAATGTGGCTTTTTTTTTTTTTTTTTGAGTGTGTGGGGAGGCTAGGTGGTAGATTATAAGTTTTTTGACTTCTAGCAGTATGGATTTATCATTATTGCCTTTCAAGGGGCTTACTGTCAGTTCCTTTTATTTAAGTAATAGATCACTGCCTAACTACTTGATTGTTGGGATCTATGTATTAATCAATTTGGTTTGGGATGGAAGGACCAAAAGTATCCGAATGTCTTACATTGAAATATACCTGTTACATTTTTTTTTTGTTATACCACTATTCTTATGTTTGATTTTGCACAGTGTAAATTTGACATAATCATAGATTGCTATGGTTTAGGCTGTATGTACAGTAAAACTATGGGTTGTAAATGTTTGGGGAAATTCCTATGGAAAAAGAGAATGCTATGTAGAACAACCTCTAACAAGGTTTATGTGCATGCCTGAGGTCTTTTTGAAATTTCAGTGTATAAATTTCCTCTTAGCTTACACGAAATAAAAAAAAATAAAGTTATATAGTCTGTTAACGTGTGTAGTGATATTGTTGTTGTCATCTTTACATGTTTAGTTGCACTAAAGACAGAAGTGAAGAATCTTATCTTCTCACAGATAACACATGTGCTTAATTTTAAGTATCATGTGCAGTTGACAAATGAGATGTTTTCTTTCTCTTCCTTTGTGTAAACTGAACAATTTGGGTCATGGCCTGAGTTGGCACTGGAAGTTCACAGGAATCCGTTCACGGTGAAATCAGGCGTTGCCTGGATGCTGCTTTTATCTTCCTTGGATCCCAAAAATATACACGGCCACTGGAAGAGCAAGGGCAAATTATATCAAGCAGTGTGCAAAAAACCAGTTGAGCTTGCATCACCACTTTCTTCTAATAGGTGTACATATTCCATTGAAATACATGGGATAGGCTTCATCTGAAAACTGTAACAGCATGATAGAGTAACACACACAGGCAGCACCTGAGCCAGCAACTTCAAAATCTGGAAAGGAACAGGAGTTGGACTAAACATTAGCAATCTTAGCTTTCTCCAGGCTGGGAAAATGGGCATCAAAATGGCAAATGCAGATTGTTTGTTTGTTTGTTTGTTTGTTTAGAAAATTTCTATGTTGCCCCATTCGCCAAAGTCTCGAGGCGGCTCACAAATATATCAATTAAAATATTATACAATAAAAATATAAAACAAGTTAACAATATAAAATGTTGCCCTGGCCGAAGAATAAAATAAATAGTATTAACAGTTAAAATGACGTTTGAATAAAAAGGTCTTGGCCTGGCGCCGAAAAACAAATAACGACGGCGCCAGGCAGACCTCAATGTAATGCAAGTGTAAGCTAATGCATATTGGGGCAAAAAAAATCCCAACTTCAGGTATTGTGGTGCATAATTCAATGAAAATGTTGACTCCATGTGCAGCTGCTGTGAAAAACTCAAGCTCCATGTTAGGCCTAATTAGGAACAGAATTGAAAATAAAACTGCCGAGCTTGTACTCACGGTATACAAATCTTTGGTGCAACAGCACCTAGAATATAGTATATGGTTCTGGTTGCCTTACTTGAAAAAGGACATTATCAAGCTGGAAATAGTGCAGAGAGGAGCATCTAAGATGATCGAGGGATTGGAGCAACTCCTGTATGAGGAACAGTCACAACAAGTAGCACTGTTTAGCTTAGGAAAAGGACAAGTAAGGGAGACATGATAAATGTATTTAAAATTGTGCCTGGTGTGGAGAAAATGGAAAATGAGACATTTTTCTCTCACACACACAATACTGGAACCTGAGCTCAACTCATGAAGCTGACTGATGGAAGATTTAGGAGATATAAAAGGGAATACTTCTTCACACTATGAAATTCACTGCCATGGGAAGTAATGATGGCTGCCAGTATGGATTGGGTTAAAAAGGGTTTGCACAAATTCATGGAGGAGGAGGTTCTCAATGATTGGGGAGCTTGGCAAGCAGAACTCTTGTACCAACAAAACCCAGTGGAATAGCGAACACCCTGGAAGACAGAAAGAAGATCCAGGGTGATCTAGATATGCTTGAGCACTGAGCTGAAAGCAACAAAATGAGATTCAATAGGGACGAATACCAAGTCCTCCGCCTAGGAAAAAGAAACCTAATGCAGCGATATGAGATTGGGAATACTTGGCTCAACAGTACTGCAAAAGAAAAAGACCTTGGAGTTATTGTGGACAGTGGCTAAGTATGAGACAATAATGTGATGCACCCTCAAAAAGGGCAAATGCTAATTTGGAATGCATTAATACAAGCATCACTTCCAAATCACAAGTTATAGTTCCTCTATACTCTTCACTAGTCAGACCTCATCCAGAATACTTTGTCTAGTTTGGGGCACCAAAATTTAAGAAAGATACAGGAAAAATTGGAAAGGGTTCAGAGGAGGGCAACAAAGATGATCCACTGTTTGAAAACAAAGCCCTATGAAGAGAGACTGAGAGGGTATGCTCAGCCTTGAGAAGAGAAGACCAAGGAGGGACATGATAAATACCTGAAAGGATGCCACACAGAGGGAGGACAAAATATTTTTCCACTCATCTCAGAGTGTAGGACACGGAATAATGAACTCAGGTTGTGATAAACCAGATTCTGGCTGAATATCATGAAAAGTTTCCTCACTGCCAGAAAAATACGATAGTGGAACCAGTTGCCTAGAGAGGTTGTGGGCTTTCCCACACTGGAGACATTCAAAAAGAAACTGGACCATCACCCGAGTGGCATGGCGTAAACTGGTGACCTGCAACAGCAGGGAGTTGGACCTGATAGCTTTCATGGCCCCTTTCAACTCTTCTATGATTCTATGAACATCCTGCTTGAGGGATCCTGTGGACAGCTGTTTTGCCACTGTGTGAACAGAATGCCGGACAGGACAGACCACCAATCTCATTAAACATGTCTTTTCTTATGTCCTTCATTTCTGGCTATGGGCTGTTCAACAGCAGAATAAACTGACTTGGATTAGAAATCAATGGACTCACCTGCAGGGTCTTTTAAATAGAGGTCAAATGGCCACCTATCAGGGATGCTGCAGTAGAGGGCTAGGTTACTGTTAAGAAATCTCCCAAATGTATGATTGTATGACTATATTCTAAACAGTGACACTGGAGTACTTGTTCCACATCAAAGTGTTGAAAAGAAAATGCTGACTAATTTATAGCTGACTCAGCAGTTCTAGAATCCCCCTACTCATACCCCAGGTATACTAAGATTTCAGTGGATAGTTCCTATTCCATTCTTTCTTTGCCACTCACAAAGGTAGACTGTATGACTTGGAAGAGAAAGGAGAAACCCACCCGTCTGCTGGGTTTCAAGGTACCCAGAGGGATTGTGATCTGAACAGGAGAAACAGGGACAGTGTGAGCAGTGGGGAGAGGCTTCTGGGCTATGTACAGTGTAAACTGAGTTGTATCTCACGAGTTTCAATGGCATGAAGGTTTTGCTGTGTTCCTGTGCCTAAAAATGCTAGCCATCTTGGTGGTTGAAAAGTCATGTTGTTTTTGCATGTCCCTTCTTCAAAGAATATAGCATGAGGACCCATTTATCCAGGTGACATTGGACCCAACTGCACTAACACAGGTGAAAAATGCACAATTACAGGCAGTCCCCAGGTTGCAAACATCCATGCTTATGAACAAACTGCCATAAAGCCTATTAGTTTAAAAAACTGAGTTAAAGACAAACTGTAGTAACAAATGCAAACTAGATTCCATGGCATAGTGTGGGAAATTGTTATCATCCTAGAAAGAAGGCACAAAAGGGGAGAGTGGAAGGCCTCCAAAGCATGCCTTCTTGGCCTACCCATCTGGAGAAGGAAATCTCTCTGGCAGTTCCGTGGTGCAAAGAGGAGACCCTGGTGAACAAAAGGGAGGGCGGGGAATCAGAACATAAGAATGTAATAAACGAAGAAGGGCCCTGCTGGATCAGACCGAGGTCTGAGAGAGAGAAGAGAGAGGAAGAAGCAGTCCGGTACATGTATGGTCAGCAGTATTAAGAATTATGGTTTGTGGAGGAGACCTAGAGATATTTGCAGCTTTTCCACTTTCATGGGGGTCCTGCAGCCCTCACCCCTCTGAATGTGGAGGGTTGACTGTATATGGAAGTGTTGAATTGTTTATATGCATAGAAAGGTAAAATATGTATACTAAGACAAACATTTGACTTACTCATGCTAAGTACAATCTGTATGTATGTAATCCAACTTACATGCAAATTCAACTTAAAGACGTTCTCAGGAATGGAAGTCATTCGTAACCCAGGAACTGTCTGTACATTATTTCCATGTGTTGAAATGAACTTTGAATTTACTGTCTTCATTTTCATTGAAGACCAGCTTTTGAAAGGCAACTGAAACTGACCCAAAATTTTCAGCATTAAGTCTACAGCAGCATTTCCTGATGTTAATTTTCCAAAAGATTAGGTTGACCTTCAGGGTATTAGTGAACTAAATGTTCAGAAAAATCCCAATAGGCCCCAATATGAAAATTTAATTTGGAGTTTATTTGCTTATTTGCTTTGTGGAATATTTCATACATGGATACGAAGCAAGCTTTTGTTCACTAGTTAAAACTTAATATTTGCAGAATACTAACATTTTAAAAAGCCATCTACTTTGTGGGATGTACTCTGTGCAGTCAATGATTCACTGCTACTATTGTAAACCTCATCTCATGCTGGCTGTATGATGGTTACTATATTTTCTTCCTTTCTGCTTGTAACATTTTCTTCCTTTCTGCTGGGTGCTAACAGTCTGTGCTTTGGTTTCTATGTCCTAAGTTGCCATTTTGGAGCTTGACTGCAGAAAGGAGTATATTGGGGTGGTGGTTGAAAGTTAAAGCTAGTTGTTGTTGTTAGTCACCAAGTCATGTCCGACCCATTGTGATCCCATGGACAACATTCCTCCAGGCCTTCCTGTCCTCCACCATCTCCCGGAGTCCACTTCAGCTCACACCAACTGCTTCAGTGACTCCATCCAGCCACCTCATCCTCTGCCATTCCCTTCTTCTTCTGCCATCTATTGTTCCCAGCATTAGGCTCTTCTCCAGGGAGTCCTTCCTTCTCATTAGGTGGCCAAAGTATTTGAGTTTCATCTTCAGTATCTGGCCTTCTAAAGAGCAGTCAGGGTTGATCTCCTCCAAGACTGACCGGTTTGTTCGCCTTGTAGTCCAAGGGACTCGCAGGAGTCTCTTGCAGCACCACAATTCAAAGGCCTCAATCCTTTGGCGCTCAGCCTTCCTTATGGTCCAGCTTTCACAGCCATACATTGCAGCCTTGACTATACACACTTTTGTTCGCAGGGTGATGTCTCTGCTTTTAGGTATGCTGTCTAGATTTGCCATAGCTTTCCTGCCCAAGAGCAAGCGTCTTTTAATTTCTTGGCTGCAGCCCCTGTCTGCGGTGATCTTGGAGCCCAGGAAAATAAAATCTGTCACTACCTCCATTTCTTCCCCATCTATTTGCCAGGAAGTGAGAG